AACCTAACTCTTTTGGGGGTGGGGATTGCGGGAGGGGGGTTGTATTAAAATGAGTCTTGAGGGATGGATAGCATGGCTGCCAATTTGGAGAAGGAAGATAGCTATGTCAAAGCATGCGGCACATTCACACAGTGAACGTAGAGTGGTCTGACCTGACTGAAACCTACAGGGAAGGCAAGGTTGATGAACAGAAACATGTTGGTCTGACATATTTTAAAGTAGCTTTCAGAAAAGTCTTCACTTCTAATTTTCACAAAAGTGATTTTTCCAAGTTCCTCAAGTGTTTCAGCTCTGATGATATAAATAATTTAGACAAGAATGAACCAATGACCGTGTCTACAATTTTCCCAACCAATTCATGCCTGTCTTGCTATTATTTGCTCAGTCTTGTCCTGTCGACTCTGTTTAATTCTCTTTGTGCTCTGCTTACTTTCTGCCTTACCTTCTTTTTCCATTTGAGTGATAAAGCTCTGAGAATTTAGTTTGCTCAGTTTACGCTATTTTCCTACAATACCAACATATGTGTAACCCCACCACTGATAGCCTCGCCAAAGTGGACTTTTCCAAACTTTCTCTGGAGTTTCTGACTGTCCTTTCTGTTTTAGCATTGGTATTTCTCTAGCGAATATCAGCCTGTGGTCTGATGGTGTGTGAAGGTCATCCTAATTAATAATCTTTGCTAGGTATATATTAATGTGTTCACTAGTTTGTGATTCATTGTGATGTTATTATGCTGGCTAACTTTTCAAATGGACTACTAAACAAGAAAACACTAAACATTTACTTCATTTATAGTGAAAATTGAAGCTAATTAAAATTATGCTCTTAATGGTGCTAGATGGTATAATTATAGATTAATAAGTTCTTGATTAGTGAAAGACAGATACATGATTTTATCATGAGGGTCTTTTGATTTTGAAAGGAAGTAGTAAAGTGCAACCTTGATGCTGCTTCTGCTTTTCATTAGCTTTAAATTCAAGTAGAAAATGTTAAAAGGGCTATAAAATGCCTATTGAAAGTGTTATTTTCCTTATCTTATCAGAAAAGGCCGCTGAAGTTCCTGTTGGTCAGGTTGAATTGCTCTGTAGGGAGAAAAGCTTGCTACAGATTTTGAGTAAGAAATAAAATATATGTACTTTTTTTGCTTTTTGAATGTCAGTGTCGTATGTTCGGGGATATGGAAGCTTAATGGTCTAGCTGTCTGTTTCATTTTCTCCTGGAATGACAGCTTAACAGTTTTCCCGGTTGGGTTGTGTTAAAATCTTTAAAGACCAGATTCACTAAAACATATGTCCAATGTTTAGGCAGCCAAAGTCTCTGCAGTCACTTTAATGGACTATAACTTAGCAGCTCCATTACCACAGATAACTTGCCCTTAAAGCTACATTAAAATATCCTCAATTTGGAGCCTGTTATTTTATACTTAAATTGTTCTGGGACTTGCTGAAGTGTATTTTCTTTGCACTATCTTAAAAGTAGATTTTGCTAAGAAAGCAATAGCTGAAATAAACAAGGGTATGCTTAAGACAGCTAAATTATTTAACTTAAATAAAAAAAATATTTAACTTAAATAATAAAAATAATTTCTTAATGAACTTTTCTTGAGTGTGTACCATATTCAGAGCATAGTGCTAGGCATCCTGCATGGGTAATTGAAATTATGACTAATGATGTGTGGGTAGAAGGTAGACAGTGGGGAAAGTCATGGAATGACTAAACCAGGAGCAAGGTATCTTCGGGGTACACTTGGAACCAGGCTATTGTGACCTCTGTTGTTTGTAGTGTCCTGTGTTTAGTGGTGATACTTCCATAGTTCTCTTGTGCTACGATGCTGCTGATGTGTTAGTGCAGAGGGTGACTCATTGAAACAGTGACAGAGTGAGATTCCATAGGGCACATCCAGAATAAACCAGTGCCAAGTAACTTGCAGCCACCGACAGTTTCACTCCCAGTCTTTTGAAATTGTTTATGTTCTTCTGACCAGTGTCTGGTGGCCTTGAAGAGGGGGACAGTGCTTTTGCTGTCTTAGAAGGCACAGTTAACAGCCACAATCCTCATTTCTTATTGATCAGCTTTTTTTCTGCTGCCATTCATTGTCTCTAACTCACTAGTCTCCAGTTAGTTGCCTTAAGCCAGAATCCTAGAGCAGGACATGATGAAAAGATGAAGAAGCAGATACTGGAAAAGTCCCATATTTTTGAAAATGATCAGATCTTTCCTAGCTTTGACAGGTTCAGCTTTCATATTAAAAAGCTGCTTAAACTCTAATTTTCTTTCAAGTGCAGAAAAACATTTATCTCAGAAAAGTTAAAAAATTTCTTATAAAGCTAACCACATTTCAAACAGTATTAGCATTTATACCCATGCTATTTATTTTAAAAGGGTTTACAGCTATAGAACAGCAACATGGAGAACCTGTTACTTTTACCCTGTATGTTAAAATGTTAAACTTTCCTGGAGAAATTTCATCATTGTGCCTAAGAGCATGAAAATTAAATGCCTATTAAAGTAAAAAAAAGTATGTAGTTTAATCAGAAAATCTTATTGAATCATGAAAGAAGTAACACTTCCAATTGTGTATATCTGCAGCTATTTCCTTAAAATATTAGTTAAGTGCAAATAATTTTCAAAATGGTATAGAAAAGAACAAATCTTTAGAAAATTTATTACATTAAAATGTGAATGATAAAAAGCTCATTCTAATTTGGTTTGTATTGTAACTTACCAAATCATTAAACTATATTTAAAGCTCAATCTTTAATAGGATATGCTGATTCTTTGCAGTTGTGACTTTGAAAATACTAGTATTACTTATAAGTTGAGGATTTTTCAAAGTGTTGATGTAACTTTATGTTAAACATTTTAATACATTCCATATATCAGCGATGATTTTAAGAAGCAAAATGAAAGTTAGATGACTTATGATTTTTGAGACTATGGTTTCAACATAATGTATATTTGTTACCTTTAGCGTTAATTCGAGGTCTTTCCTTTTGTTTTTTATTTATTTAGACTACTTGCAATAATATAAAAATACTTTTAATGGAAAACAGTATTCACCTCACATTTAAACTTTCACTGTTGCTCCTCAGAAGGAGAATAGTTTGGAAGGAATGCTTCTAGATTATTATTACATATTGGATCAATATATGTAGCTGTTTACTGGTGCCCTCACCACTGTGGTGGTGTTTTTTACAAAATGAAATTATATTGTTTAACAATTTCTTATTTTACCAATTAATTTTCATGGGCATCATTTTATATCCCCAGTATTTTACACACCTGCATAATACTCTTCTGAATTCATATACTTAGTTTATTAGACCTTCTCCTGCTGAAGTACACCTAGGTCTCTGGATTTCATCTGCTTACAAATTATGTTGCATGAACTACAAGGTTTGAAAGCATCTGACCTGGGCTTAGTTTCCCTATCACACTTTGCAGGTGACCTAGACTGTCTGCCCTGGTTGCTTGCTGGCCTTCAGGGATCATTCCAAATTTATCATTTCACATTGGATAGACCTCAGGTTAGATAAAGGCACCAATTTGCCTGTGTGGGATTTTATATGTCAGCCTTTTCATAGAACTTTGCCATTTCTATCTGGTAGACATTTAAGATGCACCATCTAGTTTGGATGGATTTTGGTTATACCAACCTTAGGCACTTATCTTGACAGAGTTCTGGGTTTCAGAGCTCTAAGAAAAAGGACTCATTGTTAAATTTGTTGTTTGAACTGGTGATCCTTAAAATCAAGGCATCTTTTAGAGAATACTTTGAAAATGCATTTGTTTTTGAATGACGGTGGAATATTTTGACTTTTTATATTTATAACCACTTGCTTTGAAATTTGATCTGGACTTTGATATGTCATATTATTAATCATAGTTATAGAAAGTCTAATTCCAATGTCCCAGCCAGAATTTCACTGGGGCTATGAATGGTATTTACTAAGGTGTTCATACAATTTTATGTTCTTCCATCACTATTTACATAGTAGATTCAGTAATTTATTTTTATCATGGCTACAGGCTATATCTTGGACTAAACCATCTGTTGACTAAAACTGCTGCATACTTCTAAAATTTAAACTAATTGCTTAGATTTTGTATGCATATATAAATTTATATGCTTGGAAGAGTTTATTTTATATTTGTGATAAAATAATATAGAATTTGAGGAAAGCAATATCAAAATATTAGAGATATTGAGAAGAAATGACTTCTTTGGCAATATGGTAATTGTTCAGCATAGTTTCCATAATTGTTGGTTGTTGATTTTATTTTTTTACCTCCAAACACAGGTAGCACCCTGTGTTTATCATAGCTATATCTTTTAATTTATTATTGTACTTATATCACGTACAATGTTAACTGCTAGACTGCCAACATTACTGTATATAATGTTTTCTATGCCAAAATATGGTTGCTAACTAGATTTCAGTGCATGTGAATTGATCAATGACAGTTAAATTCCATTTATTTTTGCAATAATTTCTTACTAGTAGGTTTCCTACTACTAGTATATACACTAGCTTGAACTTTTTCTCTACTGTAGATGTTACATGCTATTTATACGTTTTCTTTCTCTACAGACCAGTATTTTCTAAGACTACATACTTATATGTATATACCCCAAAATGAAGCAAAAAATAACTTTTATACAAGTAATGTGAAGAAAGACAATTAAAATATAGCACACAATAAGCCAGTTTAAAACCCAAAGACATATATAGTGGAATGTGGTTTTAAACATTTTTTATATATATATAAAATTGCAAATCTCATTTTTCTTTTGTATTAGAATTATAAAGAAATAGTAAAAAAAATTTAACAGTGCAAAAATCCAGTTGAAAATGAATGAATTGTAACTTATTTGGAATAAAATCAAATCACTAATTTTTATATTAGGAATTGAACTTAAATAATTTTTATTTAATCAAAGCAGTCATAATATACTCTAAATATGTATTCTCTTCAACATGCTTCCTTTTCTTTTTCAGTCCGTGATCAAAACAGGGCGACTCCTAATCAGTCATGAGGCTCCCTTGACAGGCGGCTTTGCATCAGAGATCAGCTCTACAGTTCAGGTAGAGTAACATTTTGGCACTGATGTTGTACAATTGCATGTCCATTCCATGACAAAAATTGCTTATCACAATATATGAAATATATTTTTGGAAATGCATATTTTCCATTTGACTCCACTACCCTTCAGTCAGTGATCTAATTACATCTTCTAAAAAAGAAATCTGAAAATTACAAAAATTGAGAAATCATTTATAGAAAGAAGAAAAATTTTAAATGGGTTAATAAACCACTGTTAATAAACCATTTGCTAGGACAGCAGGAAAAGAAAAATCTTTTAAATTTGAATTTGAGATTTTTAATTAACTTGTCATGAAATTGGTTAAAAATTGTTTGATCTTAGATTTTTATAGTCTTCACCTTGTAAAAAGTGAATCTGCCAGATGTCTAATTTAAATGCAATATAATTTAAAAATAACCTCAGTTTTATTAGGCTAACTCATAATTACATTTTGTTGTGCTGTTGGCAATACTTTATAAATGGTTTAAAAATTTATTTGTTTTTTAAGACATTAAGTAAGATGATGAATCTTAGGGAAAAAAATCCTGCCAACCTGTTTATAAAAGTTAATGTTAATTAATAACTGCTTAATACTTTATATCACAGATATAAATAAGATGATTTTAAGTGAGCATCATTTCTCCTAAGTTCTAAAATTAAAAATTAAAATGGTTTTAGAGTATCTGAATTTTAAATTTAGATTATCTTTGTAGTATGCAGATATTGTACTTTTTATTTGTGTTGAAATCCATTTTTAAGATATGCAAGTTAAGAATTTCTTTGAGTTTATGTTTAAAAGAAGTTGATATAACATTATATAAATAACAAGTTTTAATATTTAAGCTTTTAGACAAGCAAATATTTCTGTCACTAATAGTTTTAAACTAGATGAAACAAATTTACAAAATAGATTACAATAATGCTTAATTATAGTCAAAAACAAAATTATACTGTTTTTGTTATATGTCCCTAAAATTTTTTAAAAAGTAAGTATCTGAGTTTTACAGATTTACTTTTCCCCTATTTATTAAATATGTTAAAATTTGAAACATACTGCTTATTTTTACATAACATACATATTTGGTATTAATTGTGCATTTTATTCTTTGATAGCATAATGTACTAAATTTTGTAAAAAATGCAAGGGGGAGTCAATAGAAGGGTGAGATGGAGTGGGGTGTTATAAGAATAAATCACCTTAGCACACAGAAGCCATTTCAAGTTAGAGCAAAGCTGGTAAAAGAAACTGGGATTTTCTAACTCATATTTAATATACAGTCCATTTCAAATGATAGTAGTGATTCTTGTGAACAGAACAGTCTATGCAGTCTTGTTTCATTTTACTCACTAGATGTCATCTTATTGGTATCTCAAAAATTTTATTTGTATTTAAGTATAAAAGAAAGACAAATAGATCATAGAAATTATAATTCCTTTTGTGAAGTCCACTTTCTCTAAGTGTGCCTTTTAAATTTGATCTATAAACTGTGAATATACTGCAATAGATTATAACATTTTTCAGACTGGAAAGGAAATAGAAAGATTATCTAATCTAGTTTCTCCTGGTCTTGAATAATATGTGTATTTATGTTAATGGAAAACTGTTTCTCCGATGCTAAGAATATGTGAATTCCAGTTAAAAAACACTATATTGAATTAGAAATGCTTATATAAAAAGCTAGCACCGACAGGATCTTAAACTGTGTTAAAATCAGTTCCTGAAATTGTGTAAAGTTGTAAATGAGATTATCTAAACTGTAATAATGTTTATATCATAACAGGAAGATACCGATACAAAACACTTAATCTCCCAAGATTCCCATTCATTCTCAGTGTCTGCAATCTATAAACTATAACAAAAGTGTTCCTTTTTATAGAGGAGTATTTTGTCATCCAGAGTGCTTGTGATTTACCCAGTTAAAAGAATTAGTGGAAGGTCTGGACTGAAGTGGGAGTCTTGAGTAAAGGTTGAGTGTATATATGCATTCTTTATTTAAAGTACTGAGGGGAAGATAGAAATTTGGTTCACTATAAAATGCTGTTTTTTTCATCTTAAAATATTTCAGCCAACTTATCATCAACTGAATTAAGACTAGGATGTAAAATTTGTAAAGGGATCTCATTTGATAGTTTTGGGAATTAGAATTTGATTTATTATAATATTAAACTTAAAATGTTAATGTTTTGGTTAATTCAGATTTTATTTGCACATGTGTAAAATGTGATACATTAATTTTAATAAAATATAATGAACCTGATATCCCCAAATATTTACCTTTGCCACTTTTATGTATTGTTAAGGGAGGAAAAATAAAAAAGAAAGCTAGACACGCTGAGAGTTTCTTTTCTTTCTTTAGGGGGGCAGGGATAATATTTGCTTTTAATTAGAGTAGTCTGAATAGTAAAATCTGCTTTTCAGTAATTATTTCATATAACAATTCAAGTAAATGCAATTACTGTATCAAGCATTTTATTTATAGCGGCTTCTTTCCCTATTATAAGTGAAACTTATATCAATTACCACTTCCTTAAGTGGAGGGTGAATTTGCTTTCAATAGTTGAAATAGCTCCCATTTCTAGATGTCTTTTTGTTATGTATACTTCATCAGGTTGAAAAGATAAAATAGGTTTAGATGTTGAAAACCAGTTTTCTGTAACAGCAGCAAAATGTGTACAGAGAACTTTCCATTATCATCTCGAAAAGAAGTTTGAAATTATGAACAGCAATGATTGGCGTCTGAGCATTGCTATTAAAATTTGGGCAATTCTCACTATATCAATGAAGGTAAACTTTATGAGAAAGTGAAGATAGCATATAAAAATCAGCTCTAAAACTGTTTTGTGGGGATAAACTTAACAAATGACTAAAACAATATTTTAAGAAAATGATTACTGACAAAACTACTGTTTTTTAAATACATTAAAATCTGAAAACACCATTTTCTGCATTCCTCAAATTTTAAATTATTACCTATATTAAAATATTAATGAGCCTACATTACTATAAAGAGTATAAGTTTTAAGTTTATGGTTGGTATTTTTAGATAGAAAAATTATATCATGGTATGTAAAATTGAATATCAAGTAAAGGAATTTTTGCTAAGTATGGGAAGTCTTTCCAGCATTCCTTTTAAGGTTATTTTTAGTTACATGTGTAAAATATAAAAAGAATGCATGTAAAATATATTTACATTTTATTTACATAACTTCCTGGTTTTTGGCAGATGACTCTTCCATCATACAAGAAGTTCAGTGTCCACATTTTAAGTTTATGCATGACCGTTGCCTGTTTTTCATAAAGCCATTTACTTTATTTTAAAAATGCTCACTGTAAGAGTTATTTTGAAGTAAGTTTAAACTCACAAAAGTGATTATGAGACTACTTTCTAGTGATTAAGCATAATTATTTTTTACTAATATTTATCAGTAGTTTCTTTGTAATGTTTATACAAATACTTAGCAAAACTCTAAACCAATATATGATGTGAGAACTGCTTTGCATTCCTATTGGATTTAATTTAAATTAACTGGAGAGCAGGAAAAGCTGATGTCTCCCTATGGGGAGTTTTCTTGGTCAGTCATCCAAAGCTTCACTGTCTCTTCTCATCTAATTTTACATTCTCATCTGTTCTCACTTTGGGGTAAGGAACTCTTTCCTTCTTTTATTTAACATAAACCCAAAACTTGGAGATAGGCTTCTTTAAAGGAGTTACACAGTCTATTGTATACCCCATTTTGTGGAAAAGTGCAGACAATAGAGTTTAGGGAATTCATGATCTCATGTGTAGTTTTAAGCACATTTTATTGTTTCAAAAAGTTATGTAAATTAGTTTTATGTGATATTTGTATTCTTTAGTTTCATGAAACCATGGCCTGAAAAGAAAATTCTTTACTGTACAAAAATGTCTTAACCTCATCCATTTTAATGTACCCCAAATTAATTTATAAATGAAATATTCAAAATAGGCATTATTCATTTAAATATTAAGAGCAAATAATTTGTGGCCTTTTAAAAGGAGCTTTAAAGAGCATATTTTTGTAAATCAACCTTTATTATTAATTTCTAAGACATTTCTGTAGTGATGAAATAAATTTTGACTGATAGGTTTGTGATAATAAAATGTTTTTTTTTTTCTTTTTCTGGATTCAGTGCATAATAATAGGGCCAAAAGTTTTAGGGGTTGGGGTTGGCTTAAAGATTTGATTTTTTTTTTTTAACACATGGAAGCAATAAATCTGCAATAAAGAGTCCAACTGGAGAGGATGGTAAGTTTCCATACCATTGTTCCATCCTTTCTGTGCGGTCTGTTTTCCTAGAATAAGAACTCAGGAATTATGCATACCTATATGCATACCTATACATACCAAGATAATCAGATTCTAATAATTTGAGGGGAATTTTATAGCATTTACACAAGTTATTGCATGGAAGAAACTTTCATAATTTTCACATAAAGGATATCAAGTGAAAGATGTAGAAAGGCTTATACAGAAGGATTCTTTTCCTATAATCTTATTACTAGCAAATTTTCAAGTTCTCTGTTTAAAAACATCAATCTGAAGAAGACAGAAAAGGTCTTAAGTAGTCTTGATTTTTTACTGTTGTTGAAAATATATGCAATTAAATGTATCTTGATAAATTAAGAGTCATCAGAGAAAACTATCAGAATAGTAATTTGATGACTAGTTTACTGCAATTTATAATCTTTTTTTGTTAGCCAGCAATGAAGAGCACTTGTTAATAACAACCGATAGGGCAATCAGGAAAAGTATACTTCGTACTAAAATCTACTTTAATGGAGCTAAAGCATCAGAAAAGCCATTTAACATAATATTCTTACATGGAAGAGTCTTTATAAAATGGAATTTCACTCTGAATCCATTTAATATGCTAAAAAACATGGAAAACAGAAATCTTCAGTTATAGATAAAAATCAAAGACTAAATCTTTTCAAGAATGCATCATGGGGGATTCATTGATTTGTGGCTAAACCCACATTA